AGGCCTTGGGTTACTGCTGGTAATCCTGTCTTCCTCTTGTGAGATTAGAGGAGGTCAGAACATGTGGCCTCCTTGCCGGTTTTGCAAGTGAACATCCATCTCTGCTGATCTTCATAAGAAAAAAATAAGTGAAGTTGTGGCTTCAGAGATTTTATGCATATTTAGGGCTTCTGACTTTATAGAAAGAGTATACAGTTTGTACTTATACTATAATACTGAGCATGCCTAATTCCTCATCCTTATCTAATAATTACTGTAAAGCTTCCTTTCTTTTTTTTTCAATAGAGAGATACTGAGTAACATGATGACCAAGGTATTATTGTTTGTTTTTCAGGAGATGATTTTTCTTTGATTCAACAAGAAATATTTATGGTTAAAGAATGTAAACACTGCAACATTGTTGCCTACTTTGGGAGCTATCTCAGGTAAAAACAAAACAACTCCTTTCCCTGTATTTTATACTCTTTTCCTTACTACTTTCTCCCTTTCATGAAAGTGCTGTCATATATATAAATTTTTAAAACTATATTGCCCAAAGTTCTGAAATTTTTAGGGTTTTCTTGCTGTCTCCCCTTTTATATCAATAGTAATTACTTCAATTTTATGCAGTCTTACCTTTTCTGGCAACTTTAGGGAAATGTTATGAATGATTATAGACAAGTGTTTTATCTTAGAAAACTATGATCATATTCTAACCCATTTGACATGGAACAAAGCTGAAATTAATGTGTGTTTCTATAATTTAAAGCAAGACAACCAGGGCAATTTTCTGTTGTACCCTGTAATACATCCTGAACTGGTGCTGAAGAGTGAGAACCTTCAGAATATTTCAGTGATTGACAATTACTAGCTAATACAATTTTCTTTTTCTTTACATGTTAGTCGGGAGAAACTGTGGATTTGTATGGAATACTGTGGAGGTGGATCACTTCAGGATATTTATCATGGTACTGTAAAGTTGACTTTACATTATAAAACTCACTTTGACTTTAATAGATTGTTGTTTCACTTCTCTGGTTAACCAGGAATATTAACCTGAACTCCCTAGATTTATTGTTTTACATTCTGTGTACTGATATTCTGAATACTGCATAAAAGAAATCTAAATTTTATTTTTTTGTTGGTTATTACTGTTAATTAAATTTGCCTGGGCGTGTGCTGAGAAAGTCAAGAGTACATGATAATCCAAATTTTTCTTCAAATGCAATCTTACATAGTCTCTAACCAAACCAAACTCACTGCCATCGAGTCAGATCCAACTCATAGCGACCCCTGTTTGGGTTTCCAAGGCAGTATCACTACAATAGATTGCCCAATCTTCCTTCCAAGGAGTGGCTGGTGGGTTTGAACCGCCAGCCTTCTGATGAGCTGTAAAATGCCTTAGGCACTACACCACCAGCACTCCCCTACATCACCAGACTCATAGTCTCTAGGAAAGTGTTTTAGCTACAAATGAAAGAGCTTAAACTTCCTTGTAAATTTTAAAATGTAAAGGGTATCTCACATAAAGGAAATTATATGACTTTCTTAATAATAACTTTCTAACGAAGATGGCCGTTCAGTTGTTACTATATTTTTTTTTGTTGTTGTTGTTATGTGCCGTCGAGTCAAACCCGACTCATAGCGACCCCTCCTCCTTGGGTTTCCACGGCAGTATCACTACGGACGTAGGATTGCCCAACTATATAGTGTTTTGAGATTAGAAATTCATAGGGTTTTTGGTTTTTTTTTCCAATTGGCATATTTTATGGTGACATTTGACTGCTAACCAGAAGGCTGGTGGTTCAAAACCACCAGCCACTCCTCAGAAGGAAGACTGAGCAATCTGCTTCCGTAATAACACCACCTCAGAAACCCAAGGTGGGGTCGCTATGAGTCGGATCCAGCTCGAGGGTAGTGAGTTTGGTTTGGTTTGTTCTATTGAGCAGTTTTCTGAGTTGAGTTTGACTTTGTTTCACTAATATTTAGGAATAGTTTTAGTGCTGGCTCTACAGCTCAGTTACTAATTTTTGTTGAAAATTTCCTGAATTTCTAGAATTTGAGATTAAACATGAATCTTTATAATTTTTATTTCCTTATTTAACATGGAAAATGGGATAGTCAAGACTCCCATTACAACTATGCATTATATATTTTGTTAATAAGAAATATTTTAAAATTTCAGTGCTGAAATGTATTAGAAGCCTTGACAAATTTCAGTCATGAAATTTATGAATGCAATAGCAGTAGATGTAAAAACAGAAATACTGTTCTAGTTTAAATGGTGTTTTGTATCCATGAATATGTGTCAGTTTGACAAAGGATATTTCTATATATATATTTGTATGTGCTGCAATTATATCCATGAATATAGTAGAGCATACAGGGGGCGAAATTATGAAAACTTCTTAGCCATACCCAAACACCTTGAAGGAAAGAGTTGCTGAGCCTGGGTTCCCAGGACCATAGTCTTAGGGGACGTTAGGGTCAGTTAGCATAACATAGTCCACAGAACCATGTTTTTTACATCCTACTTTGATGAGTAGCGACTAGAGTCTTAAAAGCTTGTGAATAGCCATCTAAGGTGGCCATCTAAAGGGCAACTATTTATTCCTCCTACTCTGGAGCAAAGAAGAGTGGAGAAAATCAAAGACAAATGGAAACAGTTAGTCCAAAGAATTATTGGGCCATATGAACCTGAGACCAGAAGAGCTAAATGTTTCCTGGCTACCATTGCTTACCACTCTGAAAGATATCACAATAGGAGGTCTTCTAGGAGAGTGGGAGAAAAATGTGGAACAAAACACAAAATAATAAAAGAACAGGCTTACTGTTCTCATAGAGACTGGTGGGACCCCTAAGACTGTGAGTGTTTTGTTTCTGTAGTGCTGCTCTAACAGAAAATACCACAAGTGGAATGACTTGAACAAATGGATTTATTCTCCTACTAGTTAGGAGGCTAGAAGTTCGAGTTTAAAGTGCCAGCTCTATAGGCTGGGTGAAACCCCCTTGACCTTGGGCCTTAGCTCTGCCTCTTGCTTCCAGCTCACTGGAGCTAAAGGTGTCTCTTCACTTAGGCAACTGCTGGCTGCTGAGGCTAACAAGCCCAAGGTGGACAAATAAAATGGCACAGTCCCAGTATTACTACACAACACGGCAGGCCACTAGCTCAAGTCCAGAAACAATCCCGAGATCAGCAGAAAACCTGGCAGGCTGCTAAATGAAGACTTGGCTGCATGCAGGGTCCAAGCATGCCAAAAAGCATGCTCCCTTTATACTGGAAACAGACCACATTCCCCAGGCAGCTCCTCAAATGTTCCAGTAGATTCCACCAAAGAGTTGATTATGAATCTCATCATGGGAAATAACTATATCCAGCTGCCTATCCACTCAAAACCAGGCTCAGCCAAGTTGACACATAACCTTAGCTACCACAATGACCTTAGACATCCTTCAAGCCTGGAACTGAACCCACCCCCAGGGTTCAACTTTTACCAAACAATAGGCAGGCTTATTAGGTGAACAGTAATACCAGGAAGGTACGTACTCCTTAGGACAACCAGTCATACGAGATCAGAAGCAGCATTTGCCCAATGATAAAGCTCAGAAGACAGGAAGGGATAAGAATGGAAATTATAAACACAGGAAAGAAACAGGAAGAATTCTGTTACCTTATGGGGATTATACTCAGTGTCACAAATCAAAATATATATGAATTATTGAATGAAAAACCAATTTGGTCTGTAAACTTTTACCCAAATCACAATAAAAAGTTAAATAAATAGTGTTTTGTAAGCTATAAGTTCAGACCAGGAAGCCGGCTGGGGATGGGGCAGTGCAGTTTGGAGCAGCCTGAGGAAGGAAAGAGACAGTAGGAAACCACCCCGGGGTGGTGGTGGCGTGGTTCAGGGCAGACAGAGGGAGGAGACCAGCAGACAGGGAAGCCAGACAAGGGTGGCAGCAGCACAGTTCATAGCAGCCTGGGGGAGGAAACAGATAGAATAGGAAGCCGGCTGGGGGTGGCAGCAGCACAGTTTGGAGCAACCTGAGGGAAGCAACAGACAGACCAGGAAGCCAGCTGGGGACAGTGGCAGCATAGTTTGGAGCAGCCTGAGGAAGGAGCCAGATGGACTCGGACAGGAGCCAGATAGACTAGGAAGCAGGATGACCAGCGATTCGGAGCAGCTGAGGGAGACGAGGAAGTGAGCAGAGCGGTTTGGAACAGCTAAAGGAGACAAGCTTGTCTGCCAGTTTTTCCTACTGTGGTGTCTTGTGTGTTGCTGTGAGGCTAAAGACTGCCACCGGTGTTTCAAATGCCAGCAGGGTTACCCATGGTGGACAGGTTTCAGTGGAGCTTCCAGACTAAGACAGACTCAGAAGAAGGAAGAGGTAATTGATTTCTCAAAGAATTGGCCAGTGAAAACCTGAATAGCAGTGAAACACTGTCTGATATATTACTGGAAAACTATGAATAGCCCCATAACATTGCCCAATATAGTGCCAGAAGACGAGCCCCTCAAGTCGGAGGCATTCAAGATACTACTGAGGAAAAGCTGCCTCCTCAGAGTAGATGCGACCTTAATGAAGTGGATAGAGTAAAGCTTTCAGGACCTCCATTTTCTGATGTGGCACAACTCAAGATAAGAAAAAACTGGCGCAAATATCCATTAATAATTGGAACACGGAATCTATGAAGTATGAATCTAGGAAGATTATAAGTTGTCAAAAATGAAATGGAACACATAAAAATTGATATCCTAGGCATCAGTGAGCTGAAGTGGATTGGTTTTGGCCCTTTTGAATCAGACAACCATATGATCTATTATGTCAGGAATGAAAAATTGAAGAGGAATGGCATGGCATTCATCACAAAGAATGTTTCAAGATCTATCCTGAAGTACAGTGCTGTCAGTGATAGGATAATGTCCATACACCTACAAAGAAGACCACTTAATACTACTGTTACTCAAATTTACACACCAACCACCAAAGCCAAAGATGAGGAAATTAAAAGATTTTACCAACTTCTGCAGTCTGAAAGTGACCAAATATGCAATCAAGAGGAATTGATTATCACTGGTGATTGGAATGCAAAAATAGGTAACAAAGAAAAATCTCTGGTAGTTGGCAAATATGGCCTTGGTGATAGAAATAATGCTGGAGATAGCATGATAGAATTTTGCAAGACCAATGACTTACTCATTGCAAATACCTTTTTCACCAACACAAACAGCAGCTGTACACGTGAACTTCGCCAGATGGAGTACACAGGAATCAGACTGACTACACCTGTGGCAAGAAGTGATGGAGAAGCTCCATATTTTCAGCCAAAACAAGGCCAGGAGCTGATTGTGGAACATACAATCAGCTGCTCATATGCAAGTTCAAATTGAATCTGAAGACAATTAAAACAAGTCCATGAGAGCCAAAATATGACCTTGGTTATATTCCTCCTGAATTTAGATACCATCTGAAGAATAGATTTGATGCATTGAATACCAATGACCAAAACCAGAGGAATTGTGGGATGACATCAAGAACATCATCCATGAAGAAAGTAAGAGATCATTGAAAAGACAGGAAAGGAAGAAAAGACCAAAATGGATGTCATAACAACTTGCCCGTGAATGGAGAGTAGCTAAAGCAAATGGAAGAAATGACAAGATAAAAGAGCTGAACGAACAGCAGATTTCAAAGAGCAGCTCGAGAAGACAAAGCCAATTACTATAATGGCAATTACTAAATGTGCAAAGACCTGGAGTTAGAAAAACAAAAGGGAAGAACATGCTCAGCAGTTCTCAAGCTGAAAGAACTGAAGAAAAAATTTAAGCCTGCGTTGCAATATTGAAAGATTCTATGGCCAAAATATTGAATGATACAGGAAACATCAAAAGAAGATGGAAGGAATACACAGAGTATCACTGTACCAAAAAGAATTGGTCGATGTTCATCCATTTTGGGAGGTGGCATATA